CGATTTCTTAATCTCAAGAAATTGCAATTTTAAGATTTGCATTCAGGTGATGCAATTCTTTTGACCGCCACTGTATACGATTAATAATGAAGCTGAATCCTTATTTTATATATTAATGTACATAGTTTGTGATGGAATTGTACGCTAGAAAAAACATTTATATTTGTCAGCAAGCGTCGCTATAAAGTATAATGTGACATTATTTATAATATTGACATGCAATTTGACGTTAAATTAAATTATTGAATAAATATTACTAATACATATAATATTTAATTGTACTTTTTATTATTATTTAAACTCAACTAAATTTTTTATTTAAAAATATATTTAATAATTAATAATACAATAAATGGTGTCATTTTTATTTAAAAATTTTAAAAGATCATATGTAGCACTTGTATATAAGCCATATATTTAATTTTAGATAAATCTTTTATATTCTTCGTGAATCTCCAGAAACCCGTAATAATTTTATATCTTTTAAAGATAGTTTCGTTTTAAGTTAATAAATTTACAAATTAAACATTCATATTTGAACTAGCTGTTACGTTAGTTTCCTTTAGAATAATTGAACCTACTTACATTCACGAAACTGGTGGTTTATTCCAATTTTCCAAACAAATTGGATTAAATAGGTTTAAACTATCTGCTTATTTAATCGCGGGAAATTCTCAAGCTTTCAGCAAAACACCTTTAACAATAAAATGGGCACAAGTTACTTCTTTACCACCGTAAATACCATGGCTGGACAATCTTCAAACTATTGTATCTTGGGTAATGACGTTGATGTTAATTTAATTAACTGCGAGATAATACAAAAACCCGAAGCCGATATCATGATGACCTTTTGGAACGACTTGCAGAAGCTAGGTATGGAAGATGATGAAAATTCTTCGAGGAAATTCGCAATTGCAAATCTATCCCCTTTTGTTGAGAAGATGCCTGCCCTGAACAAAGCTTCTCATGGTCTTTTGATGAAGAACACATTGAATGGATGAATGGCAAAGCTGAATATTTAAGTCGAATCCCTCAGTAGAGCTAGACCCAGAAGACATTGAATATTTTGTTCCTGGAAGAATCATCTACAAAGAAAGACAAAAAACTTTCTGAGACATCTTACCTTCCGAAGAAATCTTGAAGCGTGCAGAATCATGGTCAAAAAGGGTAGACGACTATCCAACAATCCTCATGATCAAAAAACGTCTTGATCATTTTGATAAAACATATCGACAATATATTAAATAATTGGCAGAATAGTCACAGAGGTGGCTGAGCTGAGAAGGAAACTACATACTTTACGAAGTTGAAAAAGTATTTAAGAGAACTTACGGAATAAGTAGGATTCTTAACAGAGAGCGATATCAACGGAATCAGCTCTAGTAGGAAATACTCTGACAAGATCATTGAGGGTGCCAATCGATGGTATGCACAAGTATATAAAAAAGATTATACCTATATTACTTTATCATGACGCTTGACAAAGACCAATACGACAGACTACATGGACTTCATAAATTATGGAGAAGATCCTGAACTCGCTTTAAGTTATAGAACAAATGCTTATCGTTCCCAATTATCAAGGAATTGGAAACCTTGGAACCTCTATGGGAAATAAACGAAGAGACCCAAGAAGAAAGTCTCAAATTTTTGGGCTTTAACACAAACAGGGGAATTAACAGAGGCAATATACGGACAAACCTACCTGACATTGGTAGGATTGCATATTGCGATGTGGCAATCGATCCATCCTTCAATGAAATTGTGACAGGAAAGCCACTTGACCAGAAGACAGCGACGAACCAACATTTGGTTCAAGAAATACTTAACAAATACCTGGAGGTATTGTAGAGGTTGGAACCGGAAAAAAATTCTTTAACCGGTTATCCGGTTCAAATATTCGTTAACCGGTTAAAGTTAACTTAGGCCAGTACTATAAATTTGGCCGGAGTTAGACGATAATTTGTCAATCATAAAAATCTTAAATCTGGCCAGAAATTGAACTTTGGCCGGAGTTAAATTAATCTATTTTAACCGGATAAAGAAATATATTTAACCGGTTAACATCTTAACCGGTTCCAACTTCTAAAATAAGCAATCGCATTGTCCAGACGAAACACATTGTGATTACCATTATGAATGGGCTTCTGCTTATGTATTTGATAGAATTCAAGAAAGATTAGAGGAAAAGGCATGGGATGATTGTTTGAACAAAATAAGAATTTTGCGAAATCCTAATATGATAGCGCCAGGGGATTTTTATTTGAATGTTACGTAATCCATCTATTTCGGACTGGAAACCAGAAATTCAAAGTAAAGAAGCTGAAAGAGGAAGGAAAAGACCAATTTTCAATACGTCGTAAGCCAAAGCTGGGTTTGTAAAAAATTTACCATGATAAACAAAATTTTAGTGCAGTGGACTTACCACGTTGGACTACCACGAACAACCGCTATATTATTATTACAACCAAATATCTGACTAAATGGGCTGAAGCCGCTGCTGTAGTTGATTGTACTGCTCAAACCACAGCACAATTTATTTACCAGGACATCATATGGGAGGTTTGCTATTAAATCGTAGTTACGAACATAGTAAATCATATGATCCGTAACGTGATTTTAATAGCAAGCATAGACATGGTACCCCACGTATTTGTAACTCCTAATCTTATAAAACAAATTGAGCTGACAAAAGTAATAACTAGCATGCCAGTCTATATTAGTGATCAAAATGCTAAGATTCAACTTTACTTCGTGATTCCAGATGATATACCAGTATACGACAAATTTGAACACCAAATTTACACAACTCGAGATGAGGATTCTAATGAAGATCGACAAGTCTAAAAGTCCAAATCAATCCGATATTAAAGAAGAATAGTGGGTCAAGGTTTTATACAAAAAAAAATAAATAGAAAAAATTTTTCTTATACAGCTTTTACGCCACATTACTACTGATGTTGGAAAAAATTTAATAAACTAGGGAAAGGGAACCGTTGTGCGTCCGAAGCGTTAATTTACATCGCTTAAATAGTTAAAAAATAAATTTTATGCCACGGCATCACGTGAAGAAAATTCGTTAATTCTAGCGATATAAAATATTACAATGAATGAGAGAAAGTTATGAGAAACAAAATTTCTTTTTAAGTAATTCTTCTGGGATAGAATTTTTAAAGAAGAATGAAATAAACTCATGGGTTCTAGTTAAACTTTATACTCCGCGTGAATCTTTAACCAAAGAAAATATTGTTATCTAAAATCGTTTACAATGCCATTGTATTTTATATAGTTGAAGCAGTGTCAATTATTCTGTTAAATATTATTGAATTTGGTCGGTTATCTACTACAGTACTCCGGGTTCGTTTAATGTAAAAAGAAAACCCTTGTGACCCCCAGAATATGAGGTTTTTCGATATAGCGTTAATTAAATAAATTCTTTGATAAATTTTATTGTTTTCAAGCGAATTAACGCCAAATATTGCGCTATTCCTGTTGAAATGATTTTTTAATGTTTACAGTCCGCGGGGACGGTATCTACAGATTTAAATGAAGTTCATGGACCTTTGCCAAAATGGGATTTAGGGTTTTGCCTAGTCCTTTTTAATGAATCAAAAACTTGAATTGTTTTTTTAGAACTTGAATGGAATTAACTTGGCTTATTATACATTCTCATGCATATCTACAATTAATTCAAACCATTTGACCAAATAATAAAAACGATTTAATCATGATCAATATTATAAGAACGATCGTTCAAAAAAAAAAATAATAATAATAAATAAAGTTATCTCAATGCCACTTTTTAGTAAAAAAAAAAAAAAATTTATTTGTAGCAACGACCTCCAATTCTTCTATGAAACGTTGTGCAAATACTTTGCAAAGATAGGTTTATTTATTTTAAGTATAACTATCTATTATGTATATTTATAGACTCGTAATGAGAATTTTGCCAATTAAAAATAAATGCTAATCAACAAAATTATATATTAGACGTCGAATTCGAAATTAATCTTGGACTTTTGTTCGTTAGTTTCATTCTTTACAGTGGCGGTAACTTCCATCTGTCCAAAAGCCAACCCGAAAGAAAGTTTATCAAGGCCTGCTCCAGGAAGATCCATGTTAAGTTTCCCTAAAAGTTTCATACCAGGCTCATCACAATATTGTGCATCATATTCTTGAGTATAATATAGATAAAAAACTACTTTTGTTTGGGTAGGATAAAGTGGTAAATAAGTACACGTAATTTCTTGATTAACATTCATTGGAGTACCACGCTTGGCCAAACAATCAAATTTATCAATGCGCCCATCATGGACTTTTCTATGAATTGGATCGTCTTTCGTCTAAAGTAAATGTAAAATATGAGTTTATGAGTGTATTAAAATTATGATATGATATTGATGAATTATAAAGAGACTTACCCAGAATTTTCTTACTTTAACACCATAAGTATATTTAAGAATTCTTGAAGCAATGACATTTGAATCTGAATTCATAGATAATCCATACATCACAGCTCCACGTTCAATTGCAACCATAGGTTTACTAGGAATTGAAATGATACGTACTATGTGTTGAAATTCTTGCTTAATTCTCTTTTGTAAATATTTTGATTCACTTAAACCTCCAACTAAAAACATAGCCGAACATGTTTCAAGAGAACTATCGAGTTGTGCATGAATCAATCGTAAAATTTTTTCAACAACAGGGTCAAACATTGATTTTATGTCATTAAAACCAAGTTCAACTTCCCATTCCGTCTCTTCCAAAATTGCTCTATTCTCACCAGTAATGTATTGCTTTATCACGGGAATAGTATCATCGAGATACAAATTATAAGGTCTAAAGCTTTGGACTTCTCCCGTAAATTGAAATTTACATTGTCTATTAAATTCTTGAATTAAGTTTTGCATTTGTCCATAATGGTTTTCTTTGAGCAATTCCATAGCACTATGCCCAAGTTTTCTACTTAAATATATAATAAATTCTTTATCAATATAAGTACTTCCACAGAAATCCCCAGATCTTTCAGTGATTTCACCTAAATGATTTCTATTAATCAATTTACGAGTAGTCAGATCTACCGTGCCACCACCACAGTCGACAACCATGAAATTTGCTGTAATTTATTTTAAGATGAGCTTTAATTTAAAATATAAATCAACATAATTTGAAATAATTTTTACATACTTCCTGTTTTAAGATCATGTTCTTGAAGTAGTTAGTTTCATGCAACATATTGCAGCGGCTTCGGCTATGAATTATCATATTAAGTTAGAAATTAAGAAATCAAAAAATAAACTATAATTTTTAAATTAATAGTGAACGTTCTCACGTTCTGTAATGAATTGTAATGTTGTTGAATTTATATCATTAATCAACCCTGCATTATATACGCATTCTCTCATAGTCGATCTTGCTTTTTCCGAATATTCTGCAGGAAACGTAAGAACTAATAATACGTTTTTAAATAAATCAGTGTTCGGCCACTTCATTACAATTGCCTCCTTCATGACCTTAAATATATTATTCAAGAAAATAATTCATTTAAAATTAATAATATACTAATGATTTTCGAGCATTTTTGATCATACCTTTCCGATTTCTCTAAGATAATCAGTAATAACCTTTTTATAGTCAAGTGAAAGTGGAAGCTTCGGTTTAAACTTATTGGGTAAATCACTTAGATGCAATTTAAACAATTCAATCGGCGGCACACTACCAACTTTTTTCCTTCGAGTTGGCTTTTCAGCTAAAGCTGTGGCGCCCCATGATATAACATTTTCATATTCATCATCGTATTTAAGAACCGTATTAATTTTAGAAAAGCCACTATATTCACGCCAATGATCATGTGCAATTATGTTTTGTGGATTAATAACATGACTATAAGCAAATCCAGAGTAAGTTGTTCCAAAGTCTAATCCAACCACGATTCGAATATTATCTTAAAAAGTTATGAAATGAATTTTATTATACTTTTATCATAATAAAATTGTATTAAATCAATTCTTCTACGATTTACTACATACCTTTATTATAGGAGCTCCAAGAATGTTTGGAAGAATTTGTAAAATTTTTTGCAAGTTGAATACTATCATTATCGTTTAAAGGAAATGTTAATGTTTGACTGTTATTTTGTTCACCACCTAATTCTAACAATTCTAAAGTTTTTTCTAAAGTTTGAGAAATGATTTCAAACTCATTTTTTTGAGTTTCCAAATTTGAAACCTTTTGTTGAAGCTTTTCCAATTGCTCATCTTTTTCTTGAAGTTTTTCTCCGAAATCCGAATTAATACGTTGATTCTCTTCTTGAAGGTCTTTATGTTGTTGTTTAAGCCTTTTATTTTCTTCTAACAAATTCGATAATTTATTGTTTAATTTTTCTAAACTAATTCCAATCCTTTCAGCCCTAATGTTATTTTTTTTTCGATCCTTTAATTATGAAATGATTTATACTTTAATTTTATGACACGTTATCGTTACGTAACTGATTTACTAATCGATTTCACACGTGTATGATGATGAAAATTTTCTAATTTTACGATCACCGTAACACGAGAAAATGAACCAAGAGACTTCAGTCGATGAAATAAAGAAAAAATGAAAAAAGATAACGTTATTACTTCCTTAGAAAACAAAGTACTTGAACTTAGAACTTGACAACGAAGGCATTGAGGATAATCAAAAGTAAAATGTTAGTGATAAACTTTCTCATCCTAACGAAATAAGAGCTTGAGTACAACCAAAGCCGGCTTCTATGGTCGCGGGGCTGGTCGAGCAAGGTATGTTACATGATAATATAGCGTAAATTTTTTTTCGTCTTCTCTGTCATATTTGCCAATAATACCGAATATTTGCTTTTCTTTCCAGCTTCATATCGTCAACCCGCGCAAAAAACACATTTACGTCACGTAGACAACCGCTGTCGCTGGTAAGTGAGCCGTTTTAAATTTTGTCAAATGTTTATAATGAAGAAAAGAAGAAGACCATCAGGCGTCGGTCCCGGTAATGGTGGTATTCTAGCATTGGATGGATATTAAACTTGATAATGCGCAAATATTTGAAATTTATAAAGGTAGGTATAAAGTATTAAAGATTTATTCATTATATTCTATTTTATAGGCAATATGATGACGGTAATATCTTATTATCTTGCAGTATTATAATTAAGATCCATTCTTTTAAATCCCATCCCATTTGTTTTTATTCAGATTTATTCTTTCTTGAAAAAAAAAATATTTATTCCAAAATGTATTTATCATCTCCTAAACATGGGGTCAATTCTGCCTGAATAGCTGGCAACCCAAAGTATTCAATAGTTTGATTTGAAATAATTCACTTCTTATGTTTATCAGCTACCTTATATCTCGAAAATAATCATCCACATGTAAACATGTAAAAAAGAATATACTATGTTTGGCAGGTTCATATTGTGAATATATTTTTGGATTTTTCTTAGCATGATGTATGATAAAAAATTAGTTTTTTATCTCGTGTATGCAAAATTGTGTAACAATAAATGTGAACCGAGGTCTTCCTGAAGACAGAAAAAAATTCTCTCTGATCATCATTCCTCCATCAGAGATTTTAGGTATAACTTATCCTTTGGCCGTCCAGAGATAAAGTTAATATATTTATTCTGCTTTGAATGAAATGAAAAGGTGGGCGTGCAAACTTTTTTCTTTGACAAAAGTGATCGGCGTGATAATTTTGTCACGCTGAATATTTATAAGATAAAATTATTATATGAATTCACAGAGAGGAAGATCAGCAGGCTTGTTACCGGGAATGGCGAGATTCCTGAACTTAGAAAAAAGTTTGCTGAGCTTAATGATGAGAAAGTTGAGCTTGAGATTATGTACTGTATGTCGAGCTTTAAAATTTATTTAAAAAAGGTAATTCAAATTAGAATGGGATGACACAAGTCGACTTTGTGATACGGACATGGAAAGGGGAACATACAGTATAGTGAAAATGCAACTCCTAATTTTTTTTAACTTTACTAAAATTCAATTTGTTGTTTGCATTTATTATTATTAGTTTTCCATTTCTGTTTATTGAATTCACCTAAAATAGGACTATAATGAAAAAATGATCACGAGTTTAATAAGATGCAGCAAACTGTATTACAATGATTATATAAATCTTTATATATATATATATATATATATATATCAAAAAGAATTCTTTCACCGCAATAAACAAAGTAAAATCATGCCGCCGAAGATTACTTCGATAAATATCATATTATTGCTTTTGTTACGATTATTAATTGAAGTAAATTGCCAAAAGGCTTTTAAGCCACCACAACGATACCTTCATACTGCTACATTTATCGATAACAAGTTATACGTATTGGGTGGTCGAAATGATGATGGTGATGAACTTGTTGGAAAGCAATTCTTTTATCTTGATGTAACTGCTTCGTTTAATGCAAAAGAATTATTATGGATTGACATGACTGGTAATAATATCATTCCATCTCATAATAGTGCCACATCTGTTAAAGGCGGTATAAACAATAATACTTTGATTTTATTTGGAGGAATTCCTTACAATAATAAGCAATCAATGGATTTGGTATATAGATATGATACACAAATTAACTTATGGCTCTCTCCAAACATTACTGGAAAAGATATAATCGGCACAAGTGGGTTGACAGGCATTTTCAATAATGGAAAGATATATTTGTTCGGTGGAAAGGCAAATGATGAAGTTGTTAATGATATGCCTATTTTTGATACAATAAGTTTGATCTGGGGAAAAGCAAGTTTAATTAATGCACCGACTTCAAGATTTGATTATGGTGCAACTCTTCTACCGGATCAACGCATTATTTATTTAGGTGGATATAATAACGGACCTTTACCGTTAAATGAGGTGAATTATTTATTAAAATTTATATAACGTATGAGCCATTTATGAACGATTATTTTTATACCTACTTAATAATTTTAGGTTTATTTATATGATACAATTAATAATGCTTGGGCCACGATGGTAAGTTCTCCTTATAATTTATAATTACAACTTTAATAGTAAAAATAATATTTTTTTAATCGAACTAGACAACTTCTGGAACAATTCCTTCTGATAGATTTGGCTTTTCTGTCGTTCTTGGTAAATAATCATCGAAATTTATCATTAAAATATGTTTTGAATTTCAGTTAATAAAGAATTATTATATTTTAAAAGGATTGGATGGACGACGAATAATAATTTATGGAGGATATCAACTTGGGTCACTTGATCCCCTTTATGTATTAGATTTAACAAATTTCAAATGGTACATTCCAAAAATTTCCGGAAGGGTTCCAAGTTCCAGAGTTTCCCATCAAGCAAATGTTATAGGAAATTATATGGCTATATCATTTGGTGAATATAAAATATTTTTATTTTTTTTATCAACATAAATCCATTTGAAATTTCAGTTATATATTTATATAATGTATTTAATAGGAAGGGGCTATGATGGTGACAATGATGTTTTATTACTTGATATTAGTAATAATGATGAATATAAATGGATTGACGTACTTCCATTATCACCTTCATTATCACCTACATTAACATCGAAGGCACAAAAGTCTAAGATGCCGATTATAATTGGTGCAGTTGTAGGTGGTGGGTTGGTATTTTCATTATTGGGTGGACTTTTTGTATATAAATGGAATAAAAAGAAAAAAGAAGATATAAAAGTGATACCAACTCCTGGAGATGAAGAAAGTAATATTAAAGAACAAGGCCATGAAATAATCTCAACAACTCAAAAAATGCATAATCATGGACAAGAATCTATTTCGCAAATACCTGAAAATGAAAATGAAAAGGTTTATAATCATGGAAGAGAAGCGACTGATATTTGACAGAATATTGATCTGGAGAATTTTAAAAACGAAATGCTTCAAACGGTTAAAAAAGAGTCAAAATTTAAACGCGAGAAACGGGCACATCATAGAGTATAGATTTAATAAATTTTTTATTTATGGGGTATAGAATTATAAATTAGATTTTAGATCACAGCAATTCAGCTTGAAAATTTTTTCAATCATAATTTTTATAAAATTTTTTTTTTAATTTATTTAATGTTGTATAGTTTGATGACGATTTCTTAAGGTGCATTTTTTTTATCTGATGAGAGTATTTTTGCAATGGCGATTTTGCTTGAATTTGAATATTTGAAAATTTGTGTTTGTCTGTATTACTTAAAATTGCCATCCAATCATAGCGTTGAATTTAATTTTAAATACCTTCTTTAGGCATTTAAAAAAAAGGCAAGGAAAAGAATTTTTTTTTGAAAGAGATTAATTGTATATAATGAATTGATTACTAAAGAAATAAAAAAAAGCAGTTGATAATTCAAGTAGAAATTTGAATTTTCCAAAAATATTTGATATTTGTATTTAATAATATTTTAATTATCCATAATTTTCAAAAACATAAAAAAAAAATTTATAATATGCAAGATGTATTTCTTATAGAAAATAAATAGAGTTCTAGACAAGTCGAGTTAACTCACGAGTCAGATAAGTCAAGTTGAGTTTAAATCAAGTTGAGTTTATGTTTTTTGACTCGATAATTTGTGAGTCAAGCCAAATTCAAGTCAAGTTAAATATTTAACTCAATTTGATTTAAACTCGATTTAAACTTGACTTGATTTGAGTTGACTCAAGTTGACTTGAATTGACTTAAAATAGTATTATTTTTAGGGATGTTAAAATCCAGTCCAGTCCTAGTCTGACTCCCGAAACTCTCAGTCTATAGGACTTGGGTCCTAGGACTGGATTCTAGGACTAGATTCTGAAACTGAAGTTCTAGGACCACAGTTCTATAGAAAAATAATTGTTCAAGAAGAATGATGACAAATCGTTTAACTTGAATAATAAAAAAATAATTCAAGAAGAACAATAACCCAAATCAGTTAACTTGAATGATAACCCAAATCATTCGACTTGAATAATAAAAAAATCATTTAAGAAGAATGATAAGCCAAATCATTCGACTTGAATGATAAAAAAATCATTCAAGAAAAATAATTACAAATCATTTGCTCCCCTCCCTCCAATCCTTTCATTTTTTTTATTATTTTTTTTAATTTTTTTTGATTTCGTTCTTTAATTTTAAATTTTTTTTTATTTTTATTTTTTTTTTGATTCTAATTTTTTTCATTTTTAATTAATTTTTTTTTCGATATTATTTTTAATTTTAAATTTTTTTTTTCTCTTCCCAATATTTTCATTTTTTAAATAAATTATTTTTTTTTATTTTTTTAATTTTTTTTAATATCATTTTTTTTAATTTTTAATTTTTATCTTTTATTCCCTTCCCTTTTTCCCTTCCAATTTTTTTAGTTTTATTTTTTTTATTTTTTTTTTCTTTCCTTTTTCTCTTGATCTTTTTTCTATTATTTTTTTAATTGATTTTTGATATCATTTTAATTTTAATTTTTATTTTTTTATCTTTTTTTATTTTTTTTATATTTTTTTTGTTAGTTTTCTTTTTCTTTAATTACATCATGTCCTTTATTTTTTTTATATATTTTTAATTTTTTTAATATTATTTTTTAGTTTTTTTTTCCCTCCTGTTCTTTATTTTTTAGCTTTATTCACTTTGTAAATTTCAGATTTTTTTTTTTTATCTTTTTTTTTTATTTTTATTTTTATTTCTTT